TCACTGTATTAACATTGGTTGTTTACTTGCCTAAGTGGTTTGCAGTTAAAAATGAATGACATAAAAAATAACTTAATAAAAGCAATTATTTTATGTTTTTAAGTGAATTTATCATTGTACCGTGGTAAGTACAGCTAAATATTTCCGGAATGTGACCCAGTATTTTATGCAAAAAAACATTAAAAATAAGAAAATTGCAAATGTCTCTTCATTGCTTATGGAGTTTCTAAACTTATTTATTATTTTAGCTTACTTTTGTAAAAGTGACATTCTGCAAAATATTTTACAAAAATGCAAAAAAAAATAATAATTTTTGAAGAGCCTGAGAGGAGTTTCGTATTCTGCACAAATTTTCACGCCAGTAAATGATTTCAGAGGATAAATTTATCAGTCTTAAACAAAATACATATATAATAAAAATAGCTGCTATTTACATTTTTTTTTTTTTGGAAATGACCACTTTGGAAACAAAACTATATAATAAAAATATGGAAAGCATACCCTTTTCTATAATGTTTCAATTTTATAACTTAAAATAGAATTATGTATGTACATATGTATATAGTTAGGTTCATAAATAAACAATTGTGAAAAGAAAATATTCTATTTTAATCTTATCATTATATATTTATGTATGTTTGTATGTATATACATAAAGCGACATACTAAATATCTCAAAGTTTAAAAACGCGTCAGTTGCAGTAAAAGATAAAGAAGAAAATTTCTAGATAAGATTTTAAACTTTGCCTACATAACCTACTACAATTTAAAAAATTTACCTGCAAATATGTAAGATTATCTACTTTAATATTTTTAGGGAATACTTGTGATTCACTTTGTGCCGAATTTCCAATACGTAGTTAAACTATGGTTAACCTAATCACTATCTAACTATTTAGTTTAGCTATCACTAGATATTCACTAGACATATCATGAAATTATACAACATTAAAAGATCAGTATTTTTCTACACAAATTTGAATTTATCAAGAGTACTATAAGGGCATGTGGCTTTTAACCCTTTTTAATTGTAAAAATCGATAGTTAAACCCTTGTCAGGGGTTAACTACGCACTGTGAATTCGTTGTTTTTAGGGGTAAATTAATTAAAACGCGAATCAATTTGCTTTACTTTAGATATTCGGCTTATTTCGGCATAACTTGAATGTTTGGAGTTCGGAATGGAAAATGTTAAAATCAATCAATAAATATGAATGTAAGTATATACATGTGTATATACATATATATATTCAAATACCAAAATCTTAAGAACTTTTTAAAGTCAAAGTAATTTTAATACTATTAAAAGACTGATTGAATCTAAATATTAAAAGCTATTAAAAGTAATTAGCGTTTTTTTATGGCAACAAAGGTCATCAATCCTATCGGCTATGACTAATTTAACGAATGCCAAAATTTCCAGACAAAAAAATATTTGCAGACTCATTTGATTTAAAATTTTCCACGCATCACAGAAATGATGATAAGATACAACATCAAAACAGAAAATATAATACATATTAATTTTAAACGAAGAAAATATAAAGAATCACGATCCATGAAAACGAATGATGACGCTCTTAGTTTGAGTCGTCGATGACATTTAATTTCATATATTAAGGTACATATTTACATATATCATATCTTTCCGTAAACAATAATTTTTCAATTTCACTTTTATCTAAGGCCATAGCGAGTCGATTAGCCAAATGTAAATTATCGTTACGTAGGCAGACAGATCACTTGATGACAATGCGTCGCCATTGCACGAGCGAAGAGAGATTCGTGTGCAACACAGCAAAATTAAATTAGATAAAACTTGCATACATACATACATATGTATGTACGTACAGACATATCCTACAGCTTCTTCAGAAGAAACGCAACTCAAAAATCAGATCAGGAAATATAACTGCTGTGGATAGTGCAGCAATTAATAGATAAACTGATACAACTGTTGCTTTCTAATTAGAGAATGCAATCATGATGCAAAAAAAAAAATATTTACAAAAATGGAGATAAACGCTAAGAATTGATTTATGCACAAAAACGACCTACCTACATTTTTTTGAGTTGTGCCTCTTTTGAAGAAGGTGTGCGATATGTACATTCATAGTTATGTTTGAATGTGCATATGTGCATATAGTGTGTAAATACATGGATATGTACATACAGACATGTAAAATTTTGTACATACGTAGGTATATATGTATATAGGTATAAGTAGTACAGGTAAAACTTTTTCGCAAGTTTTTATGTACACATACATAACTAAACAATTTCTATAAATAAATCCAATGCCACGGTTATGCACTCATGCTGCATAATGCCGCGGAGCAAATTCCGAGTACATGTTATGTATACTTAAAGTACAAAATACAAATTAGTTTATCAAAAGTGGTACTTAATCAAAAGAGCCGACGACCGATAAGCGCGCGATTCTAGCGCACGCCCACAGGCCGTTCGTCTAGCCTATTTTCACGGCAATTCACCTAAAACCAATACGAGTAAATACCTTGCATCCCAAGTAGATGGCCATACGTACGCATGCACGCACTGCAGCGTTCATGCCCTGCGAGTCGCCACCGCTGGTGAAGACAGCAAGACCCTTGCCCTTATGGGAGCCACGCTCAATGAAACGTTGCCTTAACTCGTTTGGCATTTTTACACTTTTTACTCCGCGTTAAAGGTGTATATCAATAAACAATGAAGTAACAAATTCCTTTGATGACACGCACAATAGTATCTTAATTTTATTAAGCGGATTTCACTTGGTGTTTTTTGAACTATTTTTCAATCTCAACGGTCTATTTATTTCACTTTAAATTAGCTATACGGGGTCGAGACATGAGAATGCTCCTCAACTGATAGTACTCTCTAGCACCGTTTGCAGTCACCGCTTTATCAATCGTTTGGATGCACTGATGTGTATAGCACGTATGCGGGCTTGTGACTTTTAGCACGCACTGGAGCTTCTGCACTTTGAGTCAGCACGGCAATTATGAAAATTTATCCAAAATTCGCGAAATTTTAACGGAGTAAAAAGGCAAAATACTTTTTTTTTGGATGTCCGCTCAACAGCAGCCAAGGTGACACACTTTGACGTTTCAAGGTGACCTTTATCGATTGAAGCAGCGCTGACAATTCTGTATAGGGTAGACAAGACGAATGTGGCTAAAACAACAATTTTAAGAGTAAAGTGGAAATTTTGTAGAAAAAATGAAGTAAATATGTGGAAACGTTTATGTGTCTTCGTGCTGGAATTAATTAAGATCAATTGGATGTATTTTCTACGAAAATACCTGATTAAATATAAGTCTAGCGGATATTTCGTGTGCTTAGATGATAGCGATAAGTGCCGAAAGCTACTCATTTACCCTATGTGTATTTGACAATCAGCTGGCACTCAGCTGCTTGCACGCTACCTCACACTGTGCCGGTCAATTTGGTTACACCAAAAATCTCGATTAGTGCCCTTTAAGTCATATAAAATGTATTTATTTATATAAAAATTGCAATTTATGCTTCATTTACAAACTTAGCCATAATAAAAGTTCAAATATCCATATGCACGTTTTGCACAATGTAAATAGGTTTCATAAATATTTCACGACGGGTAAATTTTAAATAGAGCAGCAACATTGTAACTTCCGACGGACTCTTCTACTTCCGGCCTAAAATACCCTGCCGAGAATACAAGAATGTAACTGGATATGTAGGTAATTTTGGTATTGGAGTACATGCATCCGATTTTTTTTTTCAAATCTCTGAATATGCGATCACTGAACACACCGTGCGAAAATAAATCTTACGCACAACAAAATCAATATATTCTCGAAACCAAGAGCAAAAACCGTGAGACAGGTTCTGCAACTGCTTTCGACTGAATTTCAACCCATCCCAATTTGAATTAAAAGCAAGTTTGATTGAAATTCACTCGGAAGAGAATTGCAAAACCCGCTTGAGTAAAACTTCGTTTTTAGTTTTTCACTCTGATGTCAGGGTTTTTTTAAGGACTTTGAAATAGCAGATATGATTAATACATAAAATTATTTTAAAAATGCAGTGCAATATAAAATAGCAATATGGGTAACAGATTTTAAAGAAAATTCTGTGTAGATTCTCCTTTATTAGCTTGAAAAAATTTAATTAATTTAAATGGAATCTTCAATACCTAATCGTTCTTATGAACCAAACAACTAAGCTCAGAATTTTCTCCTTCCTTTAGTACATACATATATTGTTATTTTACATCGATCTGAATTTTATTTTTAATTTCTGAATCAATCTTATCTTTGAAATTTCAAAGTCATTTTAAAAAAATCCTCACGGCAGAGAGAAAAACCTTGACACTGCATTTTTTGAAAAATGTCCTTTAAAATTTTACTATAAGGCAACCGAATGTCAGAAAATAAAGCGAGAAAGCTGTTTTATTACTTCACCTGTTTAATACGCTATGGAAAAACTAAAACCGCAGTTTTATTATATTTGGTCCATAGTTTCGTGAGTATTTTCCCCCCAAATGGGGACTAATTTCTTCCCGATTTTCTTCTTATTCTACTGAGCAGTATCAAATTGAGCTGTCACAATTGATACCACCTTATATTATTGCATCATGTGTATATTGATTGGTGACAAAAAAAGAAGGTTGTTTCACTCAATGATTTTTGCCGCCATGGCGTTCTTGAAAAGTTTTTTGAGACAGAGCATTTTCGAACTGGCCGAGATAGATCGATCTTCCACTCAGCAGTCGAAATGCACAAAAAAATTTAATATTTTAAATATAGTCAAGCCTTAGGCGGCATAGTTTTAGGCGGAGTTTTTTTTTTTTTTTTTTTTTTTGACAAATCAAGTGCACGGAATTCGGTGTTCTCCTCTAAAACACCGTTCTAAGTTTATATGAAGAGAAAAATTAAAGTGTAAAGCTTAATTTACAGCTGTCAAGAAAAACGAAAAAATCATATAAAAAGACGCACATGAAACGGAAAAGAAATTTTCTTCCATCAAAATTTCTAAAATTAATTTGCAGCTCTCAAGAAAAATGCTTGTACATTTATTTATTCATGAAAATTTACAGCAAAAGCAAAGTACTTTTACAGGCAACAGAAATATAGAAAATTATTTCTTGTTATTTTTTTTGAGTGCTGGAAACTAAGCCATTACAACATTTTAACAGAGTCCGATTCCAATTTTTTTTTTTTCGGCTTATGGGAAAAGAATTGGCCGATGCCGATACCGATTCCATAAGAAATTACAAAAAAAAATATATTAGTTCATAAAATAAGTTAATTTAACGGAGTTAACAAAACAAAACGAAACAATTAATTGAATTAATTGGCTTGTTATGCAACATTACATACACATCTATGTACATACATACTACATATCGTCGTTGAAAGTACAAAACCGAGTATATGCATTCTGCAAAACCGCGTAACTGACATTTGCTGCCAAAAATTGAATTCGCTCACACAAGCTCTTGGCTGAATCCAACAATCAATTGGAAATGCGACTGCTTTATAAAAAAGAGAACCACTTTGAAAAATTAGTGTTTTTACTCTCTAGAAAATAATTTATGCAACCTCACATACGCGGTTTTGCATTTGGTTGATATGCAGTTTTGTACTTTAAACCACGATATGTATGTATTTGTAAAAATATATGTACATTTTTCACATTTATCATGTATGTACATTAGACTGCATCACAAAAAAAAGTTGCGGTTTTTCCGCCAGGACTACAAAATTTATAATATTTAAAGACGTCCGCCAAAATATTTCGGAAAAATATTAAGATTAAAGTGAGCTGGACCGATTTGAAAATACCTCCAAAGTTGGAGTTTTTTGATGCTGTTTTTAACTTTTTTCAAAGATTGGTATAAGAAAACCTTGAATAACTGAGCCCAAACTCTCTCGATTTAGACTTGTGAGATATCATTGGAAAGGTATTTTCTCACCCCTTTTATTTCTTTGCTAATAAACTCATTCAAAGGATGAAAGAGAAAGGTAGGATGAACGAATATCATTCAAAGTTGAATTAAGATGTGTTGGTATTTGAAAAAAAAAATATTGGAACACGAATGACTTTTTTTGCACATAAATAAAAATAGTGGGAAAATATCTTTCTACCGAGATCCCTTAAGTCTAAATCAGAATAGTTTTGGCCAAGTTATTTAAGTTTATCGTAAATCAATCTTTGAAAAAAGTAAAAAAAAAAACAGCATCAAAAATCTCATTATTACGATTCCGTTGAAAAGATTTTTAAATATTTTTATGCAGAATTTCTAAGCCTAATTTGTTTTGTCATCTGAGGGGACTTTTTCAAAGAGTTCTTTAAGAAACTATTTTTATTCTTAAAAGCTCAATTTTTGGAGGTATTTTCAAATCGGTACAGCTCGCTTAAATCTTAATATTTTTCCGAAATATTTTGGTGGACGTCTTAAATATAATAAATTTTGTAATCCCGGCAGAAAAACCGCGACTTTTTTTGGTGATGCAGTCTAATGTACATACATATAGTGGTCCACAAAATAAAATAATTGCGATATTTTGACCGGTTTTGGCATTTGGTATTTGTCTTTTGTTTATTTAAAGTTTATTATTTTTTTTATAAAAGTCTAGCTGGTATTCAACAAACACCATATAAATTCAGATTTCAAACTTTTACAAAAATTATAAAAACTCTGCTTATTTTCACCAAAATTTCAAACTTTTTAATCAGAATTTTGGTATGCAGTAATTCTAGTATAATAAAGTGCAAGTTTCCAGCTGCTATAAAATTCCGTTAATTTTTAGCAATTTTTCTTTTTGCTAGCAATGCCTCTATATAAAAGAAAATTATCGAACATACTTTTGTATAGAAAAAACGAGAAACACCTTCAACCAAAAAATTAAATCATTTCTGTGAGCTGCCTGCAAATGCTTTTTGTTGTTGGCTGTTGTCTGTCGCTTCACCTGAACATATGAAAAGAAATTCCTAATAATCGGCAAAGAATCGGCGAAAAAAGGCCGATGCCGATGCTCAATTTTGACCAGAAACAAGGCAATGCCGATGCCGATTAATCGGTCCAACTCTACTTTTTAACACACCTATTTAGGCAAATAAGAAGGGTAAACAGTTTTAATTTAATAAAAAATGTTAACCTTTTTTCTGCAAAATTAGTAAAATTGTAAATATTAACATTTGTTTTAGCGTTGCCACGAACTCAGTAGGTCATCACAAAAATAATAGCAATTGCCACCGTTGAAGCTTTCAAAGTTGAAAATTTTTTCGAAATCAAATACTTTGATATTTTGCGGACGAATTTGGTTTTTGCTTAAAAATTACTTGTTATTTTCTATAAATAAAAATTATTAACGTTTTAAATTAGATTAAAACTATACAAATGTTTTTATTTACATACTTACTTTTCGCTGCCTCATTTCCACTAACTTATGTAACATCCAAATGAAACGCACAGTTGACCTTGTGTTTTAAATTATTTATTATTT